CGCCATTTATATAAAATTTACAACTGTTTATCCTTTCAAAATTTTCTTTGTTCTATCTACTCTTTGAGGGTTTTTTTATTCAGCCTCGTCTGAAGCCTTCGCCTTCGGGTAACTGGGTTTCAGATTGCTGACAAAACCTGTCTTTTTAAAGAACACCGGTCTTTCAGCTGAAGTCAAACTTCAGTAAGACTTGTTCTCCAAAGACATGAGTCCATGGACAATTCTGGGATATTGCCTTAACTGAGCCTTGTATCCCAGAGAGCCATTATCCGAAACATTGCCTTAAGTTGGCCCTGTGTTTCGGGTATCCATTTTTCAAAGATAGCCAGAAAATCAAGGATAACAGCAACAGTTGAAAATTTTTAAACCAGCCTCGTCTGAAACCTTCGCCTTCGGGTAACTGGGTTTCAGATGGCTTACAAAACTCAGTCTTTTTAAAGAAACACTGGTCTTTCAGCTGAAGTCAAACTTCAGTAAGACTTGTTCTCCAAAGACATGAGTCCATGGACAATTCTGGGATATTGCCTTAACTGAGCCTTGTATCCCAGAGAGCCATTATCCGAAACATTGCCTTAAGTTGGCCCTGTGTTTCGGGTATCCATTTTTCAAAGATAGACAGAAAATCAAGGATAACAGCCTTTTTAAATCAGCCTCGTCTGAAACCTTCGCCTTCGGGTAACTGGGTTTCAGATGGCTTACAAAACTCAGTCTTTTTAAAGAACACTGGTCTTTCAGCTGAAATCAAACATCAGTAAGACATGTTCTCCAAAGACATGAGTCCATGGACAATCCTGGGATATTGCCTTAACTGAGCCTTGTATCCCAGAGAGCCATTATCCGAAACATTGCCTTAAGTTGGCCCTGTGTTTCGGATATACGTTTCTTTAAGAACGCTGGTCTTTCAGCTGAAGTCAAATTTCAGTAAGACTTGTTCTAAAGAGGTTAGTCCCAGAAAGCTAATATCCCAAGCATTGCCTTCAGTTGGCCCTGTGTTTCGGATATCCAACTTTCAGACAGTCAACCTTCAGTAAGACTTGTATCCCAGAAGCATTACCTTAAGTTGGCCCTGTGTTCGGATATCTATTTTGAAGAAGTTCAGAAATTGCTTATTCAAACTAAAGTCATACTTCAATTTCTGTGGGGGCAAGAAGCACGCAGTGCAGCTATGTTCGGCAGAGTTGAAGAAAAGAAACAGTAAAGCATTCAAAAATAAAGCAACTGAAGAAAAAATATTGAGCTACAAGTTCAATAATTCAGTATCGGCAGCCGCCCACAAGCGGAAAATAACAGCTGCCGAAATACGTACATAAGCAAAAAAATAAAACTGCTGTACGACAAGGCAAGCTGAAGCAAAAAAACAAGGCAAAAAACTCAGAAAAGCGGCAAGTCTAAAGTTAAGCACATGATGAACCGCAAGATTCTGAAGACGACTGCCCGAGTTCCTATGCTTCAGCCGGAGGATCAGACTGATCAGCGTTGAGTCCCATGGTGGCCTCAGCCCCAGCAGCAGAAGAGGCGGGCTTTGCACTTTGCCGAGCCTCCCTTTCCCTCTGCTCAGCTTCCAACTCCAGTCTTTCAGCTTCCTCTTTCGGCTTCCTCAGCCTTAAGAATTTCAGCTTCAGCTGGAGTTGCATACTTCATGTGAGGGTCTTCGGGATTCTGGACCCACTCAGCACATTTAGACCAGTCCAGCTTCGGCTCAGCATGAAGGCAGAGTCTTCGGCATACTCGGAATCCGTTTCTGAAACCCATCTCATATTCCTCTTGGGTATAAACACGGACCTTGAGTGAAGCCTCAGCATCAGCCAGCTTCTTCTGGGTCTCCTCCAAGTCTTCCTTGGATTTCTTCAGCTGTTCAGCGACTTTGGAGGAGGACCCCTTCAGCTCATTCAGCTCTTGCTGAATTTGGAAAGCCTTTGTCTGAGCTTGGGCCACTTCAACTTTCTGGATCAGCAGTTGATCCTCAGCCTCTTGGAATTTAGCTCTTTGAGCTTCAGCAGCAGCAGCAGCCTCTGAGAGTTGGACGTCTTTGGCCAAGAGCAACTCTTCAGCAGCCATTCGGCTGGCTTCAAGAGCCTCTAGACGCTGCTGCACTTCAGCTTGTGCAGCAGTTCCTTCTTGAATTCGGCTCTCAATAGCAGCCTTGAATTTGGAGACGTCCACTCCCATATGCTCCTGGAGGAATTTTTCCCCTTCCATCAGTGGGGGAAAAACCTCCATCTCCATAGCATCGCAGAAGGTTTTCAGAGCTTCGGCAGCTTTTTTTACCGTACTCCTCAACCTCCTGCTGCTTCTCTTCAGCTGCTGCTTGCTTCAGCTTAGCAAGCTTAACTTCCTCTTCAGCCACCTTCCTTTCGTGCACAGCAGCGTCTACCCTATCTTGTAGGGTATCAATCAGCTCTACAGTGAGAGTCTGATTGTGCACGAACTGAAAACAGGAAGACAAAAAAAAAATAAGTAATAAAAAAAAAATAGAGCTGAATTTCGGAGGAAATGAAGGAAAATTACCTGCATCATCAGCAGTTGGTTAGACCTGGCTGGGTCAGGAACTGATCTACTGGATTCGCCCATCCCAGCAGTGGCCTTCAGCGACCAGATCCTTGCCCTGTCTACTTCGGACATGCCAGCAAAAACTGCCGAAGTAGGCTTCAGCTCCTTCTCGGTTTTGACCCCATGAGGTCCCAGATGTGATCTGGGATTGGAATTCGGGGGGGAAACCCATTTCTCCAGAATGCAGAGTCTGGAAAGAAGGGAAGGACGACGATGGAGCTTGATTAGCTTTGGTTGTCTCAGCATCGTCCTTCTCAGAGGAGTCAAGTACTATGACCTCCTCTTCTTCAGGGGTGAGGACGAAGGCCTCAACCTCTCTTGATATCTGCCGTGAAGCCTTCAGCACTTGACATCACGGCATCTTTATTTCCGTGCTCAGCAGCACTCTCCTTGATTTCTTCTTGGACCCCTCCTTAGGTTCGGGAGTCCTCTGATCCACCTCCATCTCAGGAGGTGGCGGAGGGGTCTTTTGAGGAGATTGGGGTGTTGGCTGGGGAACCCTCGGCGATCCATTGCCTTCCTCAGGTTCCCTTATTGCGACGCCGATGGTCATCGGCCTCTGCTGAAAGTCATGAGGGCCGATGATGGCCATCCTTCGGCGCCTTTTCAGAAGGGGCTGCTCGTCCATATCTGAG